AACATTATTAAAAATAATTCAATAATATTTAGAGACATAATAAAAATAAATAAATTAATTAATTTGAAACTTCAAAACCGAATGAAGCCAAATCCCGCCGACGGTTGCTGCGTTGCTTCGCGGCTGCTGCGTGGCTCGCCGGTGAAGAGGCAGAGGTGGTGCTCGGCTGTGGAGAAGAGGAGAAGCTGCTGCTTGTGCGTGAAGGCAATGGAGCAGGGTGCGGCGTCGGTGGTGCTGCGCGGCGGTGATGGAGGAGGAAGAAGGTCTGGTGCGTGGCTGCCTCGTGGAGTTGGAGGAGAGGAAGCAAGGTGTTGCGGTTTCGGCGGTGGGATGAAGGAGGAAGATGATGGAGATCAAGGTGGTGGTTATGGAAGCAAAGCGGCGGTGAAGATGGTGGCCGGCTGCTTCGCGTGGATGATGGAGGAAGAAGGTGATGGCCGGCTGAAAGAGGAGGGAGTTCGGTGGTTTTCGGTCAAGTTTGGTTCGATTACATTGTAAAATAAATCTCTAATCCTCCTTTTATAGGCTTCCGGCTAAACTCTACTCCTTGAAGAACAAGAAAACTTGTTTCCCAATTAATATCGGGATTAAAATTCTTATCCAATTCCAATCCCAAATCGACCGCATAACCAACGTAACCTTCGGCCAATTTTCCAAAAAATTAGAATCAAATTGCAAAAATTGCATGATTGGCCCTCCAAGTCTCTAAACTCATTAATTTCTTCCCCATCAATTGCTCTAATGTTCAATTCTTTCCCATTGAGTTGCTTTTAATTCGATTTTGGCTCAAAACTTCAACAATTCTTCATTTGAGTACAATTCCTACAATTAAAGATAAAATCACATAAATAGCATATTTGTACTCAAAATATATTGCAAAAATCACAAATTAGGGATATAATAAATAGGTAAAATATAAGCATATCAGACACCTGGGACTGAATACTAGTTTCAGGTGGAATCTCGACTCAGACCTTATGACTAAGATGTGCAAATTGGATGAGGCAAGCTTACTTAAGGCGTCGGCTCTTTTGTTGTTGGTTCTGAGAATATGGGATATGGAACAATTATCGATTTTGTCCCTGATTTCGAGGACTTTCTCGAGGTATGTCGTAAATGTTCCTCTCGGACAATATAGTCGCCATTGATCTGCTTAACAACCACTTGAGAATCACTGAAGACTTCCAAGTTTCGGACTCCCAATCTCAAAGTCATATTCAACCCTGTGATCATTGCCTCGTATTCAGCTATATTGTTGGTGACCTGGAAACCAAACTGCAAGGTGTAGGAATACTCTGCCTCATATTCTTTCACTTCCTCAATTTCCTGCGGTGCGGTTGGTTTGGTCAGGATGATGCCGGTTCCTCCCCCTTCCTCACAAGATGAGTCGTCGACATAAAGAGTCCAGGCTCGAGGATCCAGGGGGGTATGCTTTGGACCTTGTTTCTTTGAAGGTTGCTCGGGTATAGTACTTAATGTACGGGGCATTTCGATCAGCTAACATGAAGACTTGGATCAGGTGAGCTTGGAAATATGGGCATAGCCGTCAAGCAGCTAACACGAGGCTCAGTATCAGCTTTTCCATGGGGGTATACCGAGACTTTGCCCTTGTAGGACTTTGCTTACGAAATATACTGGGATCTCTTTCCCATTTTTCTTTTGGATTAGGACTACGGATATGGCAGTTTCTCGAGCGGCCAAGTAAATGTACAAAACTTCCCCCGGCTCGGGCTTGGCTAGCATAGGAAGTTGCTTGAGGTGTTCCTTCAGGTCTTGAAAAAATTTCTGACATTCTTCATTCCACTCGAACTTCCTCCCCTTCCTTAGTGTCTTAAAGAAGGGAAGGCTTCTCTTGGCTGCTCAAGAAAGGAACCTATTTAGCGCTGCAAGAGAGCCGGTAAGTTTCTGGACTTGTTTGACCGTCTTAGGAGCTTGCATAGAGAGTATTGCCTCGACTTTGGTGGGATCTATGTTTATACTGTCTTTGGAGACCTAGAAGCCGAGGGAACGTTACCGGACGCCAATCTGGATTTTGTATTTTCATCTTCTTGAAATAGTTGCTATAGATTATGTCGACTACGTTGCCGTTATCAACGTATACTCGGCTCACGCGAACGTTTCCTATAATGGCTTTAATAACCATGGCGTCGCTGTGTGGATAGATGTTTGGGACTACGTCACTATCCGTAAAGATTATTGCCTCGGTTCCCTTGAACCATTTGTGGCTAGGCTCTTGTGGAGGCATTTTAATTACCTCTCGAACTGATGCCTTCATAGCTGTTGTAGAAAGAACCTTGAGTGGTGCACCATAGATTGCTCCCACATTGTCAGTAATTTGCTTAGCAGGATCAGGTGGAGGGACTTGTTGGAGTGGCTGAATGTCGCTGTAGGGGCTGCTGAGCAGATTGCTGCACATTGTTCCTTGGAGTCCAAGTATTCCCCCAGTTATCCACTCGAGGGCCGCGTGAGTTCTTCTTAGGAAAGCTACAGGTCCCGCGAACTTTCCTCCCTTTTGTCGAGGAGCATTCTGTACATATTATTGGAATTTCCAATATTTCACCCCAGCTTCGATTTTATGCTTGAGTTCCCTACAATCTTCAGTGTCGTGGCCATGGTCCTTGTGATATTCACAGTATTGATCCGTGGACCAATTTGGGTTGTGAGCCAGGGGTTTTGGAATAGGGAACTCATCCTTTTGGATTTGGAGTATTTCTCGCCGGGGCTTCAGTAGCGGGGTCAACTACCAATCGAGCTTAGGCAAAGCAGGCTTAAACTCAGTAGTAGATTTGAGCTTATCCCTTCCACCTCGATCTCCTATGATCAAGAAGTACTCCTGAGAGCGTTTAACCGTCTGTTCCCGCTGAATGTAACTTTCAACTATGGCCCACATTTCTTGTGTGTTTCAAGGTGGTTTGGTTGACAATTTCACCCTCAAGATAGCAGACTTTTTGAATGGGTTGAGGCCCTTAATGAACCCATTCTGAACGTCTCTGTCATCGAGAAAATCTACTTGAAGTGTCTCCCAGATGAAGCGACGATGAAAATCAGACAGACTTTCGTTTTGTCCTTGCTTGATCGAGGAAAGGTCAATTGGCATCTTGGTGATCTGTTTGCTCGGGAAGAACCGAGTAGCCATTTTGACCGATAAATCCTCAAAGCTGACAATACTTCCTTCTGGCAATTGTCCGAACCAGCGTTGCGCTTGTCCGGTGAGATAAGATGGAAGGGCCTTGGCCATGAAATCGAGTGATGCATTTCTGATCCTCATGACTTGGACATATCTGTGCAAAAATTGCTGCAAGTCAGAATCTCCCGAGTATTTGACAAAGTCTTTGGGGAAATCGAAGTCACGAGGCTTCAGACAGTCACGCATCCTTGGAATAAAAGGGCTTCTATCGACGATCATTCCTATCATTCTCCACATTGACTCATGAATGGAGGCGTTTTGGTTGCCATGGTTCTTCTGTCATCAAGGATCAAGGGTTCTTCTTGTTGCGAATCATCATAATGATATTGACCATACTGAGGATGTCTTGTGTCTCAATATGTGTCATGGTGATCGTGATAGGACCTTTCCGGGGAAGCCCTGCGTCTTAAGCGGGAGTGTACATTGCCTCTCGACGGGGGATACCAATCACTTTTGGACAACAACTCGACACTAGGTGAACCTTGGGGGTGTTGGTTGCGAGATTGCTTCTTGCGCCGATGCTCTTTTGCGAATTGCTCGCGTGCTGTGTAGAATGCCGGATATGCTCTTCCGAATGAGTCCCAAAAGGTTACACCAGGGGTGGCAGAGAACTCTACCTGGGAAGCCTCATGGCTCGAGGTTTCTCTGCGACCTTCTGCCTCTCGTTCACCAAGAACTTTGCGTTTGCCAATTTTCTTTTCGAGCAAAGTCAGCGTCCTGCGTGCTTCTTTCTCGTCAATCAGGTCATGTAGCTCCTGATCCATATATAGGATCGGGCAGACCCAGCAAGCAACAACGTTTGTATTCTTTCAATATATATTTTTCCTTCCTCTGATTGAGGTTATTATCATCTCTCAACTTTTTGAGTTCCTCTTCAATTTCGGCCAACCGTTCCTCATCATGTGGATCGGGGCCCTTGCAATGATTTTTCAGATCTTCCTTCCTTTCATCCTCGGGACTAGACGGTCTTGTGGGAGTTTTTTCTTTCCTCGACCGTCGGTCGTTCCTTTTTCGCTTTTGCCTCTCTCGGAATTTCGCTGGGGTTTCATTGTCATCAGGGCTTGGCCTCCTGTCTGTTGACGCTATACTGGATTGAGGTCTATCGATTACGGGCATCCTGTTTGGCAGAGAACCCGAGCTGGCAGCGGCGATCAAAGGCTGGGAAAAGTTTCGAAAGCTTGAGAAAGCTTAGTGCCACAAATCCTAATTCTCCGGTCCCACTGGGCGTACCACTTGACGAACCCTAGTATTGTAACTCTGGTTGAATAGTGGAACTCCGATTAGGGTTTCCTGCAAAAGGGAGCCTCGGAGGCCTCCTAAGAGTAGACACTCCGATGCTTAAGTTAGAAAATAAGGTTATGGAGTATTGCGTATATGATTATTGGAGCTAGAGATAGCGTACCTCAATTATGGAGTGATTATCCTTATTTATAAACCTAGAAGATATCCAAATCTCACTAGGTTTAGTATCCTTGCACCGTCTCCACAGAGTCGGTTGGATCTAGACTCGGTAAATGGGCCAGTCTAATATAAGTGGCGGATATGGACTCATCAAACTGAAAACTGGATTGCGAGTTGCTACTGAGGCCCTGAATCTGTACTTGATCGAGAATTTGAAATGCTTGTTGGACTAGTGATTGTACTAGACATGAGGAGAAGGGCACATTTCCTGGAATCAATCAACATTTTCATCGTTATAAACGTAATGGGCAATCCCAAAAACAAAAAAAACTTGATATGAAAACATGAACATGATCTTGGAGAATTGAAAGAAGGATTGTTGATCTTGTCAGACATTATTATAAACAAAAGTGCACCAGCATCATTGGAGCCAAGAGAAGTTGTACAAGTATAAAGATAATATTGACTTAATTATCAATCTTATTAATGTTTTGAACTCTACTGAGCTCGTTTACATTATTGCATATTCTAACACAATCAAAGTCCAGGCTGCTCCCGAGCATTTCAACAGTACGATACAAATCTGCAGGATTACTAGTAGATATCTGAAATTGAAGATAGATATCCATGCCATGTTACACATGGACATTGTAGTTATGTTTTCTTGATAGTTTCTTCAGAGTTTGCCACAATCATATTTAGAATGCGCACTTTGATCTCTAAACACGGTGAGCAATATGAAAACTGCGATAAATTTGGCCACGGATGATGTGCTTCCCAGAATCACACCAATCAGGTGCGCTTGTAATGATAATCGTATGATTCTGTTCCTTCGCTCTTTGACATATTGATCAAACGCTTCTTCAATCCTTTCCGGGTTCATAATTTGTTGCCCCCCTTCATCAGATTGACCAGAATAAAGAATCTTTTGTCCCATATTCCTAGCAAAAACCACTGCATCTTCTAAGGTTGCTGAACCGCCCTGTCCCAAAAATGGACCCATTGCATGCATTGCATCCCCCAGTACAGTAACTGATCCTTTGTAAAACTTTCCCATCATTATCTCCCATTGAAGGCGATATCTCAAGTGTGCAAATGAAACCGAGCCTACATTACTTTTTGCGATCATCTCTATTGCATGAGCTGGAAAACCGGTTACGTGTTTCAGGGTTTCCTGTTTGACAAGCTCTGGATCGTTTGGATATTTGCCATCTGCAACAGATTCGTAAATGATCAAGATGAAACAAATAGGTATTCCAACTCTTCAACTTTTTTTTTGTTTTTTGTTTTTTTTTTTGTAGTTTTAGGAAAAAGGATAACTCTATAACACATTTGAACAAACTTGGTACTAGTTGAATAATGGATTTGATTCAAAAACACAATTACAAGTTGAGGATTGATAGGGCTGAATACATTTATGAAGAAACAAACAAGAAGCAAAAAGTGTTAAAGGGTAGTATGACTACCTAGCTGAGACATTTTAATACCAACAAACCAATACACCAACTTATCATTGATTGGAATTCGTCCAACCAGATTGGCGACACCGTGATCTCTCTTCATTCGGATTGATGCAGAAGGAAAGCAATGACCCTTTGGGTAGTTAGTCAGGCCTCTGACACTACCAACAGCTGATACTGATGTAGGTCTCAATCCAAGGTAATTTGCCACTTTGGAATATAAGCCATCACATCCGATCAGAACCTGTGAAAAAACTCTGGCTAGTGAGTAAAATAACTTAATAACATTTCATATCATCATCCTCTTCATATTCCCTCCATTTTAAAATTTGAGAAATGGATTAAGAAGGTAACTAAAGTACCTTAGCTCGAACAACCCTGGCATCGGTAAGTTGAAGGAGAGGGGACATACTTTGAGGATCCTCCTCCACAGAGATCGCTTTGCATCCAAATCGTATGGTTTTAGGCGGTAGAGCATCAGCAAGAGCATCTATCACGTCTCTCCTTTTCAAACAACGAACTTCACCATTTCTGCCAACAGGCATTGGATGGGTATGGATACTTATACAAAAGTGAAATTCACCTTTCACGACTACTATGTGGAGTATGCCTAACAAGTCTAATTAAACATAGCCTCAAGAGATTACCTTTTTTGGAGATTAAGTTGTACATTACATCACTATATTTACTTATCAACTCTTCAATGGTACTTACTAAATTTGAAATGCAAAACCAAGATCATATCTTTACTTCAAACCTGATGATGTGTAACCAAGGTTTCTTTTAACTAGCTATCTTTTAGCAGTCAATTGACCTTATAATAATAGTTAAAGAAGGAAAACATGAACTTACATTGGCAAATTTACTCTCCTTCCTTGGTCAATCCATACATCTTCTTCTCTGTGTAGAATTCATATAATGAGCACGAACGATAAACCGTAAGTCGATTAGGTCAATCTTTGAAGTAATAATCACGTATCCTGTTGTTTACATGTTCTTAACTTTATCAAGGTTTGCAAATTAATTAGATAACAAAAAAGAAGAAAAATACCCATGAATAAGAATAGCTTTGTCCCTTAGCTGAGGTCCAAGACCAAGTTGATCAAGTGCCCGCCATCCGTTCATATTTATCCGTATCGCGGTTCCCTCAACTCGCAGACTCTCAGAACTTTCATAAACCACCACATCTTTGAACCCTTTCCTGCAGTGGAAGAACAGAACAGAACGAAACAAAACATTACATGATTGATTGATCATTATTAATGATCCCTAAGGCGAATATATCTTTTTCAAGAACAGTTGATTAACTTTGTGTAATCAATCACTTTTCATCATTTGACTATCTTCTACAGTATATATAACACAACAAAACAATGAGTCCGTCTTTTCGTCATTTGCATCCATGTTTCTACAAGAAAATACAAGGATCAACTTATTCATTCGTGGAACAATTTTAGTCCCCCAACTATCTCAAAGAAAGAGCCTTGTTTGTTGTACTGTGTTTTAGTTCAACGTACAGAACCTTTTAGGTTTGTAGCAAAGAGCTAAGATGATAAGAAGGGCCGGACCTGTGAAGTGCAAGTGCAGTAGCAAGGCCGCCAATCCCGGCACCAACTATCACAATGTCGTGCTCATTTTCTCCTTTATCTGTAACCATCTCGTTCACCATGGATGCTGGTACGAAAAAAAAAAAAATCCAAACCAGATTTTTTGATTTTGAGATTAAAAGAACAAAATGGCTTTTTGGGATTGCTGATTAAAAGAAAAAATAAGAAATGCATCCAACATTTACCTTTAAAAGAGATGAAATTGTATTAATAAGGATACAGAAATAATTGTCCTTCACTAATGAAGAATTCTGTGGAGTAATTTGGTTCAAAAGTTATAGTGTGAAACCATAGATCGAAGTCATAACAGGAAATTCGAACTGTTGACTTGGACTTGTATGCTTCAAATTTTCCAAACATAATCAATGACGGAACAACTGGGCTAGATGCCGTCGGAGATATTCAGTCCAAACTTTTGTTGGAAGTCAACTATTTCATTCCAAACTCAATTATACACTTTTTGTAGGAATTTAACATCTTCTCGTTCATTGCAATTGATACTTGATAGAATTCAACGGAACTTTTGAAATTTTGTGTAGGTTGAGATCACATTAACACACCAATAATGCGAATTACTAATACAAATTACTAATGCCGATATTATCAAGAATATCTTTCATCGAAGAATTGACGCAAACTTTCGAGGAAACAACTACGGATGCCGTCGGGGGAAGAATTAGACATTTAGTCCAAACTTTTGTTGGAAGTCCGCACTTAGTGATACACTTTTTGCAGGAATACAACATCTGTAGTCTCGTTCATTTCAATTGATAGAACTCGAGGGAATTTATAAAAATTTCTATACGTCGAGATCCCATTAACCAAATAATATGTAGCAGAATAATTTTAAAGAACTTACAACCCACGCGAATCTCATGCCTTCAACAAAGATACCTTTCACCAAAAAATTGACACGAACAAAGCACCAGCAAGCCGATGAATTGAGGGAAACAAATCACTAGAAACCAAAGCAGTTTTCTCCATCTCTGATCAACCAGACCTTTAAAGTCTTCTTTTATTTTTTTACAAGGAAGGAGGCAAAGCCTAAATCAAGAGATTAACACATTTCGTGGGTAGAAAACACCGATCATAAGTCTTCTTCTTTGAATAAAAGCAATGAGATGGCGGAAAAATCATTTGACAACCGGCTACGAGACACAATTACCATTAAATCATATTTCTTACCTCTCAAATCTTCTAAAAAACAGAATGTTAAAAAGTTAACTTCTAGAAATTATGATTTCATCTCCTAAAAATACACTAACAAATTAAATGACCCAAACTTTATATCGGCTAAAAATTAGATTGAAATTTTTTACCAATAAATGAAAATCCTATCCTAATGAAATGGGAATAACCAAGAGCAATAACGCTCGCAATTAATTGAAAGAAACGAAAAGATCGAACATATTTATAGTACTGCTTCAAACAACTTTAATTACTCCACTCTAAAAGGCAGTGTTGTTATGCTTGGCTCGGATTGGCCGGTTGAACCGGTGGGAACCGGACCCCAAGTCGATCCGAGCAGGTTAGAAAATCGTTTGTTTTAGAATCGGTCAAAAACCGGTTAAAAATCCAATCGAACCGGAAATCGGGTAAACTCGGATAGGACCGGATTTTGAAGATTTTGACTTTCTGCCCAGAATTTTTCTCATTCCAAGGCCAATTTCTTTGTCTTTTATTTACAATTGCCCCTAACTTTCAGTATTTGTTTTGTTCAAAGTATTGATTTGATTTCTTAGTCCCCAATTTTTAATTTTAACTACTTAAAGCACTATTTTTTATTTTATTTTGTCGCAGAAACAAAGTTTCTGCGTCTTAATGTTTCAAGTTCATTAAAAATTCAATTTTTTATTGTAATAATTTTTTTATCTTAGTTACCTTATTAATACTTATTACTTTATAAAAATTATAATTGACTAATACAAAAATATAAATATCAATTATTACAATAGAAGAGAATTATAAAGTTTATTTTTTTTATTTTAAATGTATTAAATAACTAAATATTGTTTATTTAGTAATAATTACATCATCTTAATCGACCTTCCAAGTTCAATTTTGTCCAATAAAGTACTAATTTGACTTTCATAAATGAAATATATATATAATTTTAATTAAAATATAATTATATATTATTTATTATTTATTACGTCATTATGACGTCATCCGAGTCGACCCCCTGATTCGCCTGGAGTCGACCCCTGAATCGCTCGACCCCCTCACCATGCTGAGTCGAGCTCCGGTCCGAGCTTGATAACACTCCTAAAAGGTATAAGAATACAAAAAGTTGAATAAAAATTAGTCCATGTGGTAATGTGTCAATCACAAAACCAAATCATTATTACATTTTAAATACACTGATTATGGCAAAATCAATTCTTTCTAGAAAGAAAACACTAATGGAATATGACAGTCAAATCACATTGAAGAACAGAGAGAAAGTACATGCAGGCAGAAACAGATTTATGAAATTAAATTGTCGTAATTTCGCTCAATGTTGCTGCAATTGGGCTCCTAACAGAGTACTTCTGTGATGTCCATGTTATAGATCCTTGAGAAACGGCGAGATCATGAGGGAATTCGACCAGATGAAATGTAACTTCATATGTCAGCTTTTCATTTACCTGGGAGAAAATGAGTTTTTCTGGTTTTATTGCAACCTTAACTCCAGGAGGTGGAACAACCTTAACTGTGTAAACTGACTTGGGTTCACCAACGTTAGTAACTGTCCTTGTATATTTCTGAGTTTTCGCCCCAAATTGGATTGCAAATGAAGGATAGTTGAGTTGGGCTTCCGGTATACTTGTTTTACAGCGTACCTTGTGTTGTAGAATTATGCCAACTTGTCTGTCTGTGTAATTCAGGCCACAGAAATAAGGGATGTAATCTTTTGGTGTAATATCATAAACCAGCCCTGGATCGTTTGCTTTGATTGGATTTACATGCCCTGATCCAGTAGCGAAAATGTCAGCCGCGAGTTGCTGTTCATTCTCAATAGGATTCTTGGCATGGTTAACATGATCAGCTGTAGTCATAATCGCAGACTTAATTGCAGCCGGTGACCAATCAGGATGTGAACTTTTCACCAATGCAGAAATACCAGTTAGATGAGGGCAGGCCATTGATGTGCCTGATATTATATTGAAGTTGAATTTTGTGTTTTTCTTGTTTTCCACTGAGCGATGCCAAGCAGCGAGGATATTCACCCCGGGACCTAGGATATCCGGCTTTAGAATACCTCTGCTCGCTATGTTAGGTCCTCTGGAAGAAAATCCTGCGACTTGAGGAGCATGAGGATCTCCGATTATGGTTCCTTTGAATGAAATCGCGGCCATAGGTGAAGTTGTTGAGTTCATGTAAGCAATCAATTTGACCGAATCAGCATATGTTAGATGTGTTGCTGGAAGAACATGAGCATCAGCGCTTGTAGTATACCCGTATTCCTCCGGATTGGTCACGATCATTCCAACACCACCAGCAGCCTTAACGTTTTCGCCTTTGTGGATCGCTCCAATGATACCGCGTTCACAAACTACGATTCTGCCTCTTACTTCTTTTGTAACATTAAGTAGTTCTTCAGTACAAAATCGATCGTCTTCAGGGGAAAACAGAGGATACTTTTTAGTTGAATGAAAATTCTTAGGCTGATAAGCGGATTCCCCTTGAAGCTCTTGTTTATTTCCGAGCACGGCGCTTGCTTTGATTCTTCTGTCAATAGTACTTGCACCAACAGTGAGAATCCATGGAGCTCCATTGCCTAAAGAGCCACTAAAAGGGCCATCATTTCCAGCGGCACAGCTCACAAAAATGCCCTTTTGAACTGCACTGTATGAACCAAGTGCCACATTGTCAGTGTAAAATGGTTCTGGCGATCCACCGAGGGAGAGGGAAAGAACGTCGACCCCATCGTCTATCGCAGCATCCATGGCAGCCAATATGCCACTCTCAGAGCAACTTAGGTTGCATACTTTGTAGATCGCCAAGTGCGCGAGAGGGGCAACGCCGACAGCAGTGCCATTGGCATTTCCAAACACATTTGCGCCCCTGACAAAGTTCCCTGCCGCGGTACTAGCCGTGTGAGTGCCATGTCCATTTTCATCAACTGGTTCACCAACTCCTTCATAGAAATATCTTGCTCCAATCAACTTCTTGTTGCATTTCGAGGCGTGGAACTCGCATTTCCCCTTCCATTTAGCCGGTGGCGGCGCCATACCTTCATCGCTAAACGAAGGGTGGTCTGCAGTGATTCCACTGTCCAGAACTCCAATGATGACACCTTTACCATAGTTTGATTTGCTCCAAAATCCCAGGTTATGCTGCAACCCTAAAAAATTTGGAGTATGCGTCGTCTGCAGAGACAACAGCTTTTGAGGCCGGGCGGAAACAAATCCCGGCTTATTCTCCATTGCTTTGACATGCTCAGGTGATAATTGAGCTGCAAATCCTTTAAAAACATTGTGATAAGAATAAACCATCTTTTGGCCTTCTGTATTTGATGAAGTACTGGAACTTGAAGTGATGATGGTTGGCAGAAAAGAATGGTACCATCTGTCAAGATCTTCATTTGGGGTTGAGCTACTACTGGAAAGCTGATCAAATTCATCAGCAGATTCAACATGAATTATGTAAGTCTCTAGATTTGCGGATATTGCAAATGAAAGAAAAGTGAGTTGTAATAATAAGCAAAATGGAATAAGAATTTGTCTGATCAAACCCATGTTTAATCAGCTGAAAATTTTTTTTGCTCTTTTTCCTGATCATAAAAAGTTGTGTGAAGTTCAAATTTTTGATAGCTGAAGTTATTATATATAGCAATAGCCTCTACTTCCCCCCTAGATATTCCAAGCATGATTACTGGTGCTTTTGACTAATGATAAAACGCAAACTAATGCTAAGGTGACACATAAAGCTTCATCACGTTTGAATTGTATAATCTCAGCTTTAGCTAAAGTTTCTGCAAAGTTTAAAGTGCATTCGTCGGTGGGTTTGCTTTTGTTCTTCGACTCCTTCCACTGAGTTTCCGACAAAGTTACAAAGTTATGTGTTTCCATGCAAAACACGATATGCTTTATCGGAAAAACAAAACTAATCCGATTCATTTTATTAATTAATGCTTATTAAAGTTTAGAAAGAGATTAGAAATTTGAGAAACTTTTGGAATAATTGAGATTTATGAATACATTAACTTATCCTATGTAATTATTACATGTGATTTCTTTTTTCTTTCTTTCTCTTCGTCTAATTGAATCCACTACTGTCAATCATTCAAACTTTCACAGATAGTAGCTTAGAACACCTCAATTGTTTCTGTACAAAAAATACATGTACATAATGAACAAGCTAAGTATCAATTATGTACCGAGAATATATTGGGAAAATTGCAATTTTTTTTTTGGAATTTTGAGAGTATAAACTTTTAGTCTCCAATATCTTGAATTTTGGTCTTCAATTATGTACCAATTGGTTGATATGTATATACTATTAAAAAGTCTAAATCCCACGTCAGTGTTAGAAAACTATGATTATCAATATATAAGCTCTATGAGTTACTCTCTTCATTGCCAATTGGTTTTGAAATTGAACTTCATGGCCTTCTGTATGATATCAGAGCCAGCCCGTCAACATTCAGACTTCAAAAAGTCTAAGAAAAAAAATAGGGCTGAGACGTGAGGCGGTGTCTAGGTTGAAAAAATAGGACAAGCCCAATCCAAAAAAAATGTTGGACTTGCGGGAGAGTATTAAAGAGTCTCAATCCCAAATCGGTGTGCCGAACCCAAAAAATACATTGGATTTGCGGGAAAATATTGAAGAGTCCCAATCCCAAATCGGTGTTAGGAGGCTCTGAGTATCAATATATAAGCTCCATGGGTTACTCCCCTTATTGTCAATTGGTTTTGAGGTGAAATCCCATGAACTTCTGTGTATACTCTATATTTTCGTTCCACTTTAACATCAATTTTGTCTAACTAAAACAATATGTATATGAAATGTACTACTCCCTCCGTCCTACAAAAATAGTACAGTTTAATAAAAAAGTTTGTTCCAAAAAAATAATTCAGTTTCACAAAATTCAAAATTAATTGAATTGAAATGATTTAAATATCCAAAAGAGCAGTGGTAAGGAAAACAAGGTCCACTTCCTTTTATTTTTTATTTTTTTTAGTTTTTTCCTATTTTTTCAAATGATTATATATTTTTATACATGAATGATTAAAAAAACGTGTTATATATCAAATTAGTCTACTATCTTTCCATCAAAATACATTGTCAATATTTTTTGAGATAAAAATTTTAATCAAATTTAAGTTGTAAAATAAATACAAATGTAGTTAACTTTTATAGAAATAACTAGAAGGGGCATTAGTGGAAGTTAAGGGTATAAAATGAGTTGTACATTTGGTGTGTTGACCAAATTAAAAAAATTGTATATTTTTAAATTGGACTATTTTTCTGGGACGGAAGGAGTATTAAAGTGGAACGAATGGACTCGAAGTAAATGGGGAGAGGAAGTGGGCATTCTTTCAATTCTTTCTTGTAAGTTAAAGCTTTTGCCATGCTGAGGTCAGTGAATAAAAAACCGATTGGAGGTGACCAGTTTTCAATTTTTCTTCTTACTGGTAGAAACCATTCTTCAAGAGTGAACACATAGTTTATGATATTCATCTGAAAAAAAAAAAATGAATGCTTCAAGCATATGTCTTTTCCTTTCATTCAAGAGTGGGAAAGTAGGAGGTTTTTGAGTACTTTTCAGACCGTTTTCATTCTGTTTAAGTACATCGTTTTTTACATACTATTTTAGGAAATCTAATCACACCTAAGATCCAGAGAACTGAAGTTTAGACGGGTTCGATCAGTGATAAATAACTAGCAGCATTTTCAATAGGAATCTGAAAAGTAAAGATATTCAGGGAATTGCAAATAGCATGTGCTGGTTCTAGTCTGTCTGGACACTTTTCCTCAGAGTTTGCCACAATCATATTTTGAATGTGCACTTTGATCTCTGAAAAGAATAACTAACAAGACAATGGCGATAAATTTTGCCACAGGCGATATGCTTCCTGAAATGATACCAACTAGGTAAGTGTTCAATGACAGTAATACAATCCTCTTCCTTCGCTCTCTGACATATTGATCTAACGCTTCTTCAATCTTCTTGTGGTTCATCATACTTTGTCCTTCCCCTTCTCCAGATAGATTGAGAGGACTAATCTTCTGCCCTATATTCCTAGCAAGAACCACGGCGTCTTCTAACGCTGCAGAACCGCCCTGCCCTAAAAACGGACCCATAACGTGCATTGCATCCCCTAGTACAGCCACTGATCCTTTGTTGAATTTGCCTGTCAGGGTCTCCCATGGATGGCGGTATCTGATGCGTGTGAAGGTCAGCGTGTCTAGCTCGCTTTTCTCTATCATCTCTACTGCATCAGTTGGGAAGTCCTTCATGATTTTTAAGGTGACTTGCTTCATAAGTTCTGGGTCATCAGGAAATTTGCCATCTGCAACATATTTTATAGACCATAAAGGATGAAACAGATTGTTTTTCAACTCAACAACTCAATCAGAAGAACTTCAGTTATGATAAACTAAATACAGTTCAGAGATAAGTATGCCTGATTGATCAAAAAAGCAGAAATGTAAAACCCGGAATTTTTAGCAAGTAATTCTGGTTACCTAATCGGGACAATGGCACAGAAATGTACCAGTATACCAACTTATCATCGACAGGGATCCGTCCAATGTCCAAACTTCCATTTTTACCCTGATCAAGCTTCATTCGGACAAACTGAGGAGGAAAACCATGACCATTTGGATAGTTTCTCAAGCCTCTGATTGAAGCAACAGTAAATAGTGATGTAGGTTTCGACCCAAGGTACTCTGCAACTTTCGAGTTAGATCCATCACATCCTATCAGAATCTGTGGTGACAATATTGCAGCTAGTGAGTAAAAAAAAAGCCACAATATCCTATAACATGCAGTCTTCCTCAAACCATTTATGAATATGACATATGAAATCGAAAAAAGGGATTTAAGGTACCTTAGCTCGAATAATCTTGTTATCATCAAGTTGAAGGACAGTGGACATAGTTTGAGGATCCAATTTCACAGCAACTGCATTGCATCCAAACCTTATGGTTTTTGGTGGCAAAGCATTAGTGAGGGCGTTTATCAAGTCTTTTCTTTTCAAGCAACGAACTTCTCCAGTCCTACCAAATTTCTTCCATTATTAGTACCGATAACAAGTTCATAATTTAACAGACAGGCATAGAGAGGCCTAATATACGACAATCTGCCATTAACGCAGTGATCATAACTTATATCCGGATCATCTAATTTTTTCCATAGGCTATTTTACTATCACATTTATGGAAATGCAAAATATCATGGTTCTACCATTATGTTACTGGTAAGCAACACGGTCATTTTGTACAAAATTGTATCTGAACAAAAAATATAAGAATACATAACTCTGAAATTTTCCAGAGAACACGAAATTGCAGAGGTGATTTTCTGCTAAAAGAAAAGCACACATTCTTCTTTCATTTAGCTGATTATTATACTACATAAGATGGCCTACTACACTGTTCGGTTAATGCCTAAACAGTGAAGACATCTTCCACAAAACAAGCTTCATCACAAATTCTCCAACTTGCATAATCTTGCAAGTTAATATACTGAAACAAGCAAAGAAAATAACAACAAACACAGCAGAACAAACAATAATCAATCTGAAAAATTCTCAAATTCTAATATGATCATCAACAAACAAAGAACTAAGAAAGGGAACTTACACAAAAGCCATCCTCTGTCTCCTTCCTCGGTCAATCCATATCTCTTCTCCTCTGTGTTTTCGCAAGATAATAAAGAGACCATAACTTATGCAAGGAAACAGAGTTGATATAGCTCAATCTTGCACTACTCAGAAATCAATCAACATAGTATTAAATTTTGCAGTAATTTCGTACCCTTCAATAAGAATAGCTTTGTCCCTAAGTTGCGGTCCAACACCAAGCTGATCAAGCGCCCGCCATCCGTTAGATTGTATCGTTATCGTTGTCCCCTCTGCTCTCAGGCTCTCTGATCTTTCATAAATCGCCACATCTTTGAAACCTTTCCTGCAATGCAGCCAGAAAAAAGAAAAAGAAAAGAAAAGTACATTACATGACTACTGTTCAATGAATTTGTTGTTATCATTCCATGTACATTTTACATTACAGGAGTTTTTTTTTTTTTTTTTTTTTTTTAAAAAAGAATGCGAATGTAGACAGCAAAATTAAAGTATATATGCAATCTAAACCATCTCTTAACTCATATTTGTACCCATAATTTCACACATTGTCACAGAAGATGAACCTGTGAAGCGCAAGAGCTGCGGCAAGTCCGCCAATTCCACTGCCAACTATCGCGATCTCGTGCTTCATTTCTTCTCCCATGTATATATATGCTGACAAAGCTGTGTTAAATGCGTTTTTCTGAGCAGAAACTATCTTTTTCGGTGATCAAATGGTTTTTGGATATGGCTGATAAGTGTTAAGTTTTCGGGTAAGACGAGACATTAGACGTTTATTATATAGTTTTTGTAAGGGAAGTCGAGCATCTTTTCCGTAGAAAAGAAAATATGACACACAACAAAACAAAAACCGGTGTCTTTGACAAGTTAGCGCCTTGGTGGACTAATTTGCATCACATATTTCTAACACTGGAGCCGAAAATGAATTTCACGGTTCTTAATGTGTAAGTTAATCTTCTGTCTAAGGTTAATATTTCACTTTGTTGAATAAGAATAATGTTACCCCATTTCCAGGAAAATAGTTCAATTTAACGAATTAATATCTCGAAATTGAACTCACGAAAATTTAAATTGTCTAAAATTTATTATATAGAATTGATAAATAAATATATTATTGTGTTTGATTTTTCCATTTTGAAATATTAACCCATCAAATTAAAAGATTTTATTTTTTCGAATTAAATTACTTTTTCAGGAAGGAAGGAGTACAATCGACTTATAAGTTTTTTCTTTTTTTTTTCTTGAGAATTTAATCTGATATATATATATATATATATATACACTAAAATTTTCACCTATCTTGATGGGAATTTAATGGAGCTCAAGTTTTTTAGGTTCACAATAGCGAGATAAGACATTATGGTCAAATCCATTTATTGATTCCCATTCATACATACGAAACAAGCAGGCCCTTAATTAAAGGTTAGCTATCGTTTTTGTTTTTTGTTTTTCCAAAGACGAAATTGAAATGGAAATCAACTCGATTTGACAATTATTGATAAATAATTTGCCATGGTGGATACATGGTGAAGTTCGTCAACAAGCTAACGTGCATTACTCACGGTCCTTATTGTGTTCAATCAAAACCCCCCAATGATTCTTAACCAATATCTTCCTTTTTTCAACCGACATTTGAGTTCAATTAATCCACTTGCAGTATTTTAACACAATTAAGGTTTCTTGATAAGTTTAAATTAGAAGATTTTGTATCTACGTGAAGAATCACATGGACTATATGTATTATCTTTCTAGACCATTCCCGTTCCTAGAGACCTCTCTGTTCGACATTTATGACGGATTCTAAAAGTAGATAATATGATTGTTCATTCTTTTTCCAAATCTGATAACTCTCTTTTTGTAATTGAAACATCATGGAGTCAATTTGTTTTTTAATAGGTGTTGGATCGCTTGCAGTAATTATTGATGCAAATACGTATGTGTAAGAAAAAAAAAACATATTTTCGTACACATGCACGAAAGATAATGACACTATTAAGCTACAGTACTGCCACACACTTTGAGACACTACTAAGATATTTGGCAGGTGTGTGAAATAACCTATCATTGATCTAGACCCGGAAAAAGGAAAATATTGGAACGCAGCGACAACCTCCCATCTAGAAACCAATTTGGAATTGACGTTGACTCTTTCTTGTACATGTACTTATACGTTTGGAAGGACTTCAAGTTCGCACATTCTAGTGGGCTTATTCATCATCATTTGAAGAAGGATTTTGTGTATTGCATTTGTCTGATTATAAGGGTTCAAGTGTTTTCTAATTATATTTTAATTTTTAATTTCCGTATTAATTAGGATCATCAGTTTGTGCGTTCTTTTGGTCTAATAATATTGCCCCCAACCCGAAACTATGCTTCGAATTCTATCTGCAATATATTGTGTCTGAATGTCTTTGTCAACTGGATTCAGCTTCAAATAAGAAGATAATTTGTTTGTTTCTCGTGCGTTTAGCAATTTTCCTTAGAAAAGAAAATATGACAAAAACTGATGTCTTTAACAACTTTTTGCACCTTCGTGGACTAAATTGAATCACATATTTTGAACGTAGAAGCCGAAAAAAAATTCACGGGTCTATTAATGTCTATACTTTATCCCGTCTTATTTTATGCGCTCGTCTTTTAATTGAACTAAAACAGAAAATAAGGGAATTGAGGCATGGGAGGTAGTAGACAAACAAGGCAAGCTGATCTGGTCTCGATATAATAAGTTCTATCTTCAAGCTGAGGCTTTAGCTTGTCTGGCGGGTTTAAAAGCAGCAACAACTATAGGTTTAGCCAGTTGTGCATTCTAGATGGACAATTCAACCGTTGCAGGTCTCCGAACTCATGTGGCATCCCTTCCATATCCATTGCAGCAGCTTGGGAATGATATTTTGACTCTCAGAAATAATTTTTCATTTTGCGTGTTTGAAAAGTTAAATAGATCTATAGAAAATGTTCATCGATTAACTAAGTTGGTGATTGTCTCTTGTATGATGTAATTCTATTATATCTTTGAAATATAAAAGTTTGGTTTTTAAAGAAAAACTAAAACAGTATAACAAATTAGTTATATATATATATATATATATATATATATATGACGGGTTTGTGGAGACCCGCAAAAATTAATCTGAATTCTAAATAGACTAAAAATTTATTTGTAAAAATAGTGGAATCAGGTCGAATCCCAAAAGAACCGACTTTTAACTCTTAGTTTTGTAAAAGTAACAAAATGAGGGTTTTTTCTTTTTAATGAAAAAAATGACAAATTGAAGTAAATAAAAATAGAGAGAAAATTAATAATAGAAAAACTTTGGTTTAAGAAATGATTCAAATATATTATAGATCATGGACTAAAAATAAATTTTTCTACAACTCAAGCATTCAACCTTAGGCTTAATAGGATATCAGTAAAAAGCCTTATATTTTTTCAAAAATATTTGACCAAACCCACCACCTAATCAAAACTTAGTATAATTTAACTTTCCACGATAGGTTCCATAATAAATTATACTAGCAGTAAAAACTTTGAAAATTTAGTTGAACAAAAAAAAAACTAAAATAATTGAAATAACTGCACTTAAAAAGTTTCTGTCTTATTGATCCCCTAGTTAGACTGATCATCCACATTCAACGTGTCACTACCAACATGCATAATCTGCTAATGTGCTACTTAGTTCCAAATGTTTAAGACGATAGCACAACATAAACAATTTGATAGCAGTAGGAAGAAAATACTTAATAAAATTATTAGATTAATTAAGTATATACTCTCATAAAAATAAATCAAAATCAACAATTACTTGAGTTAAAAGTAGAAAGAATAAAGTGAAACTTGTTATGTCACATATAATATAAATGAATATAAATCCTTGAACCACAATAAGAAAACTAGTCGCTTATAGTGACTAGAAACATCTTTAAAGGTTTTGAAGGAAAAAATAAAAATTAAAGATTAACTAAAAAGTTTAAAAGAAAATTGTGGCCAAAATGGAGAGAAGGAAGTAGCAGCCTAATGCTTCCTACGGTGGGGTGGGGTTTTCCATTGGATTAAGGAGTTCTATTTATAGTGATTACTCCCTAACTTAATTCTAAAAAATTAGGAATCAAATATTCTTTTCTAATCTCCAGTAACATCCTCATGGCCTGATTCTTTCAAATCCAACAATCCAACCGAGTAGTCAAAAATTTGATTTAATTTTCTTGACTTGATTTGGTCTTTAAAACAAATTTTCTGCAACTTCTTCTTAAATTAATTTTCCTTAGCTTCCAATTCCGTAAATCAAGCCGTAAAAACGTTAAAAAAATCCATCTTTCATTGCTTCACTTCCAAGCACAAAATAATAATAAAGTCCATTAATAATCTCCAAAACATAATCAAATTAGGCATGAAAGATTATAATAAAATAAATTATATTATAACTATCACTCTCCCACCCATCGAGTGCCTACCATGAGCGAGGGGATTAGTCACTGTTGCCGATAGCGGACACCCTGCAATATGTAATATATATACATATATATATATATAATGTAAAAAATATGTAAACTTATTACGATACTTTATATTTAGTTAGGGTTTTTGTATTTACAGTAACTAAATGTATTTACTTTACTTACTTACTTAGGGTTTGGTAATTGTAAAACTTGTATATATTAAACCCTAATGCTAATACAGAGGCCAAGAAAGCATTGGCCGTTTTCCATCTTTCTTCCACTACAAACAGAATTCTTTATGGTATCATCGCAAGTTAATCATCTTCCCGTTGCAATTACAAATACTGTTGAGGCTGGTGTTGAAGGTTCGGCGATCAACTCTGACAAACGACCGGCTGTTGAAGCTTCAAAGGATTCGGTTGTTCATCGCCACACCATTTCTCCTTATGACATTACTGCCAACGATGGTCCAGGCGCCACTCTCACTCAAATCCAACTCAAGGGCGAGAGCAATTATGACGAATGGTATCGTTCTGTCAAGTCGGCGCTCCGGGGAAAGAAAAAAATTTGGGTTTGTCGATGGTTCAATCCCAGAACCGGTGTCTTCTTCAGCCGATTACGACAACTGGTGGACCATCAATTCTTTGATCTGTTCTTAGATCATGAACACCATTGCATCCAGCCTCCGTTCCACTATTACTTAGCCTGATGTTGCGGCTAATTTGTGGCTGGACATCAAGGAGCATCTGTCTAAGATAAATGGACAAAGGATCCTACCAGCCAAGGCGGAATTGGCAAGTCTCAGGCAGAATGGACTGTCCATGGCTATCTACTATGGCCAATTGAAAAAAATCTAGGAAGAACTTGCTTCATATAATCGATTTCCGGTCTGTTCGTGCGGCCTTTGCGTGTGCGATCTCTGTAGCGTCACTGACAAGAAGCTGGAAGAGGAAAAGTCCATCAATTCCTACTTGGTCTCAATGACTCTCTGTATGGCACGGCTCGGTCAAATCTTTTTGCTCAAGATCCGTTGCCGAAGCTGAACAAGGTTTATTCAACCATGTTTCACGAGGAACGTATACATCAGATCACCAAACCCAAGGAACCGTCGCCGAGATGGTGAGTTTTGCTGTTCTGGCCGGTGTTCCCGTCAACACTTCTTCTGTTGCTTCTGCTGGTGACGCATCCGTGTTTGCTGCTTCCACA